GAAGAGCNAGTTTGATATCGAATTACAACTAACTCATTGTTTGATATAACTCAATGTAATTTACGTTTTACACATCAATTAATTCGTAGCGTATACTAAAGTTTTGTATATAAGTAAATACGAAATCACATCAAGCAATACGTAAACTTTGTTCTTCATCACATGTATCACTTTGTTCCAAACAAAAGTTTTTCAGTTAGCTCTCTTTCTTCTTATTGCATTGCATCCTCTACTTCTTTTTTGCCAACCTTCTTGTATTGCATCCTTCTGCTGCTTTTTTGCCTTCAACATTCACCTTTATGTATTACATGCAGATTAAGTAGAAAAATATCTCTCAGCTAGTATTACATGCAGATTAAGTAGAAAAATATCTTTAAAAGAACAAGTTAAAATACATACCATGTTTAATCAAGACTAATATTACTGGAGCATTGTCCCGAGTTTTCATTAAGGCTCATGTCAAAAATTTCTTCAGTAAGTTCTTCCAAGTCAGCACCTTCTTTCGCTAAAGCTAAACATAAAAAGAAAAAAGAAAAAAGGAAAAACAATTATAACCTATTATATAAGCAAAAAAAATACAAAGAAATATGAAATTTACCTTCTTTGCCAAAAAGCCAATCTCTAGTACATAGCAAGGCTTGAACAGTTTCAGGCAACAAAGAACTTCGATATTGATCAAGCACCCTACCACTAATACTAAATGCTGATTCTGAGGCAACGGTTGAGATAGGAATTGTTAACACATCAGAAGCCATACGAGAAAGTACGGGATAACGAAATTGCTCCAGTTTCCACCATGAAATAATATCCAACTCTTGTTTTCTATCGAGTCTCTTTTCTTCAAGATATAAATTTAATTCAGTTTTTTCAACTAAAGTTGACCCATCTTGATAAATATTATCAAATTCCTACATATAAAAACAAAATAGAAACAAGGATCAATGTACAATATAAAGATGCATATAAAAAGTATAAACAGAGGAATAACAAATATAAATACTACCTCAAAAAGTTTGTCTCCAACTTTTATTTCAGTAGGAGTTTGATTAACTGGGTTGGATACAAGAAGATGAGAGAACTTGTCCATGTAACTACCAAAGAGTGCAAACAATGTGCCACTAACATCCTTCAACTCTCTTGACTCCTTACCATAGAGTTTGTCATAACCCCACTCTACAAATTGCAATTTTATAGCGAGGATCAAGAATCACCGCAATGGCAAGGATCAAACTATACTCTGACCAATACTTTTCAAACTTCAAATTCATATAACTCCCCATCCGTCTCATGAAATCATCACAATCTTCCATAGCATCTTTAATACAATAATGAACTTTGAACACTTTCGGGAAGAACAAGTTTGATGTAGGGTAATTTGTTCCGGAAAATAAGCAAGTAACTTCATAAAAATACCCCAAGAAATTGGAAATCTTCTCTATTTTATCCCACTCTCTTCCAAGGAAGGACATGAACTAAAAATTAGAATCAACAAGTGCCAAATTGAAAAAAGCACGACGATAGAAAATAGCACTATCAAGCATTGTATATGTTGAATTCCATCTAGTAGGCACATCTTGTCTCAACCCTCTTTTACTACCTGCCAACCCTACTTGTGCAACGCAAGCAAAAAACTTAATTTTTCTCCCTTCTGAACACTTTATATATTTGATGCACTCACGAACTTTAGTCACTGATCCATCAATTTCCTTTAGTCCATCTTGGACTATCAAGTTTAGAATGTGAGCACAGCAACGAACATGAAAGAACTTTCCATCCATTAATAACAAGCCTCTAAAATTTAATTGTTTCTTCAATAGCTCAACAGAACAATCATTTGCAGAGGCATTATCCAAAGTAATGGAAAACAGTTTCTTTTCAATCCCCCACTCAACTAATAAGGCATTAATTTTTTCAGACAAAGCAACCCCCGTATGTGGAGGAGGCATATGACAAAAATTTAAAATTCTTTTATGCATTTTCCATTCTTTGTCAACAAAGTGAGTTGTGAGTGTGAGATATCCATCAGTTGTAGCAGAAGACCATAGGTCAGATGTCAAACAAATTCTTCCATCAACTGTATTTAACCAATCTCGAAGTCTTATCTTTTCATCTTCAAACATCCTCAACACATGTTTCTTAACTGTATTTCTACACGGCAGTTTGATATCAGGAGATATGTATTTAAACAAAGTTCTAATGCCCTCATATTCAACAAACCTAAAAGGCAAATCATGCTTAACTATAGCCTCAATCAATAGCTCACAAAAACTAACATGGTTAAACTGAGGAGAACGCAATCCAACTTGAGATTTCTTCATATCAATGTGATGTTTTTTATTACATGTATCCATATGATTCAATAGGTTTTTCGTCCCACAATTACTATCACATACGTAAACTATCCCACAGTTTTTACACTTCGCATGTTGTTTATCATCAGGACCAACAGGCAATTCTTCAAACAAAGTCCAAACACGGGATCTCTTTTGACGTATCTTACCTACTCGCATACCTTTAGCCTTTCTCTTTGAAGGACTTGGTGCTGTTGTACCTTGCGTATCACTTAGATTGACTGTTGACATTTCCGTGGCCTCAATGTTCTCTTCATCAATATCTATCTGCACTAACCATAAAAAAATATACTGTGTAAATGGATAGGAATGTAATAGCCTCAGTGTTTTCTTATTAAGTAATTACTGAGGATTAAAAAACCATGACAAATGAGTTCCTAAGGATTATGATACTGAGGGAAAGAGAAAGTTTGGTTTCTTTGGTAGGGGTTTGAATCCATGTATCCGTATAATGGCATCATTATTCACCAACTCTATACACACAAAGACGAAAAGGAATCCTCCAAAAAGTGTTTAAACAACACCAAAAGCACTTGTTAAATCTGTTGACATAAAAGGAACGAGAAAATGCTTAGAACTTAAATTCCTAAAAGTCTAAAATATAGCAGAAAAAAGAACCAACAAGCACCAAACGGTAATTGCATTCAAACTAATGTTCTATAACTAACAAGCACTAAATTCAAATTTATGAACTTTTAATTCCAAAATTTCCAAAACCGTGCCTTAAATTCAAACTCATAAATTGGACCTAGTAAATAAGAAGATGCATACCCAAATTATCATAATTATTTAGGCAGACCTTTAAAGGCAGATTCCAAGCAAGTAGTCACAATTTATTAGGTTCTGTTCCATTGGGGGTATTATGCCAACAGCTATGCCTGCTGTCATGCCTCACCAGCATATTACGACGTCAAAGCAAATTACAGGAAAGTAAGAAACAACACAATGGACCAATGTTCCAATTGTAGAGATCAAGTCGGAAGAACCTATCTTGAACTCCTTGTAGGACTACAAATTTCTGAAACAACTGCATTGCATGCCATGCCCTGTTGCTTAACAGAAAACTAAACTAACTCACTCCAAGAAATAGTACTGTAAATTGTCCATGAGACATCTCAATGCACAAAACGATCGAACGAAAAACAAGCTTGAGACAGACAATCCATATTCCATATATCCCATCAAGCGGGTTTTTCTATCTCCACTCAAAATTAAAAAAACCCCAGAGTTGAGTATTAACACTACAATTGTATATTGTGAATACCTTTCAATTCCCCATACAAAAGGCTAAGCCGAACACAAGTGATTATCCAGAGAAGAATTATACAGGAACTGCCTTCTATTTATACACCCGAAAGCTTAACAGAGACTCCAATGTATAAGGAAAACAAATATATCATCATCATGAGACCTGCTCCGTGTTCCTACCTCCATGATTATCCGCACTCGCCATAGAAAATTTGTAAATGGAAGAAATTATCAAAGCCCTTCCTACAGATAATGACCATTTTAGAGTGCAGCGACAAACCGAGGAGTCAAAAGTAGTCCAAACAGATTCCAAAGATTCAAACCCATGAACAAAACGCATGAACAAAACCCATGAACAAAGAAATCAATACTCTGTACACTAAATCAATACTCTGTACAAAACCCATGAACAAAACGCAAAACCCATTATCCAAAACACAACCAAAAATCTAATCTGCAGAATCGAAAAGTAATCGAAATGAAAGAAGAGGTGGAAGGAAATCGCAGCTTACCAGAGAGAGAGTGGTGGAGTTCAGTAAAGTTTTTTAGGGAAGAAGATGAGGGAGATAACAGGAGCTAGAAGGAATGAGCACAGGCTGCACAGCGATCTCAGTCTCAGAGAGCAATGGCGTGTGAGGCAGCGAGAGAGGTGAGGAACGTGAGGGCTGACGGATGAGGTCCTGAGGTTTTGAATTAGGGCTATTGAAATTACACAAAAATCCTTACAAACGGGTCTTAACGGGTGGCTAATGGGTTTCGCGGGTTCACCCAAACTGACCCGTTATGTAACGGGTGACTAACGGGTTGACCCGTTAACTACCCGACCCGTTAACCACCCACCCGAATACTAATTTTAAAGGGTCGGGTCGGGTCGGGTTAACGGGTTGGGTTAAAAATGACAGGCCTACCACTAGGTACGCACAAATAGTTACGCCTCTCATAAATAACCACTTCATAGCATAGGTTACCGATCATCGTCTACACTATAAAGAGGGGTTCAAAAACATGTTCTAGCATCCTATCGTCATCTGTCAGATAGTCTACCAGTTCATGGTTTTTTATAAAAAATATGATATATTAAAATACAGCTCAATATAGGCCAACAATTAATTCCACACCAAAAACACGAGACGATAGTCAATATATTAAATCATCAGGCTTCACATAAATTAAAACATAAACTTGTAGGCATGCTAATCATTTATGCAATTAAACTATAAAATCATGTAATTTTAGAAGGGGTCCACTCACAGTACTTAGTTGCCAAAAGTTGCGCCACTAGCGAAGACGGAAACGTCACAATAATTACCCCTAAGCACATTAAAGAGCCCAATAAATAAAACTATATAATAGCAATTGAATTTGGGAAAACGGATGCCGGAAACGGATTCAGAACGTCGAAATTAGCCTAGAAGAGGTCCTAGACGAAACCCTGAAAAGTCAACCCTAAAGTCAACGTTGACCGGAGGTCAACGGTCAAATTAGGTCGAACGGGTTTTAGGCTTGAAATCCGGATTAGGGTTTAGATTAAATAGGATTAGGATCTATTGGGTTTTCTAAGGTTTTTGGGTTAAAAGGGTTTTAGGGTGAGAATTGAGGTTTGGGCTTAAGCCCAAACATATACACTCCACCAACACACACACGGGCTGCACAATGCATGCCCACCCAAAACACACACACACAAAGCACAAGGCCTTAAGGCCTCACAAAAATAAACAGGGCTTTAAGCCCTTTAAGTCCAAACCGGCCCAGGGCCAATTTAAACTAGGGCCCGAGCCCTTATGGGTTTTAAAACCAAATAACAAAACATAAAAAAAACTAAAGGGGCTAGGATTTTGGGCTTAAGACAACACGGGCCTAAGGCCCGAGGGAGAGGGAAAGGCCGGGTGGCTTGTTGCCAAGGAAGAAGAAGGCCGGAAATTCGGCCGGAAAACCATCCCACTTTAAACGGCCATAACTTTGTCACTACTCAACGAAATTAAGCGAGACAAAAACGAAAGTTGTATCCCTTGAAGAGAAGAAGAGAATGATACCTCACACGACATCTAACTCACTGTGGTTTGGCCGGAAAATGCCTTGAAAGCCTCAGAGGTCGCCAAAAACTGGGTAAGATTCAAATGAGTATAACGTCTTTCATACTCAACGAAATTGAGTGAAACAAAAAGGAAAGTTATAGTACTCGATGAGAAGAAGAGATTGATACCTTATACGCCGGCCAAATCGTCGTGGTTTGGCCGGAAATGGCCTCGAAAGTCGCCGGAGTCGTCGGAGCTCGTATACGGGGCTTCCAGGTTCGACTTCCAAGATGCCAAGACTATGGTTGAGTTCGTAGCGACGAGATAAAGATGATGGTGATGTCTGTTGGTAAGAAAAACTCACAGAGGGGTTGAGATAAAGAGGGTTGAGAGAGTGAGGCAGAGAGTGAGGGAGAGGGAAAAAGAAAATGAAGGAGAGAAGAGAGAGAGACCGGGAAACACCAAAAAAAAATCATAAGGTGGGGCCCACGTGGCTCACCATTTAAGAACTAAAACAATTTTAAAAGGAAGATAAATTCCCAAACTTGATGAAAATACAAAAATACCATTTATGTACAGTAAATCCCGGGACGGGTTGTTACAACTATGATCATGCATCCTTGATTTATGAATGGATTAATTGACGGGATTGTGGAATGACGTTGGATATGATTGCTATTATTATGATTATTTTAGTTGATCAATGTGGCTTGAGAATTAATGTGATTCGTTGGTTATTGGATATGTTACATGTTGTGTATAGAGGTATCATGTTGAAAACATAGTGATTTATACGATGGATGGAATGGAAGCCTTGAATGTCATGTGGGTTTGTTATGTAGCCATGAATCTAGTAATTCATGCTTGTTAAGTTCTACTAATTGATTGAGGAATACTATGCTTTTCAATGTGAACGTATTGTGATAAACGTCGAAGTGTAATGAATGGTGAGCTACGAATTATTAAACTAAACATGGTAAATACCAATATTAAACTAAACATGGTGTTTGTACCATACTTGACCAATCCCGAAACTACCGAGCACCGGCCAACGCTATACTGTCAAGGACCCAGAAGAGTTCCCCTCCGACCAGGAGGCCAATCACTACTCGACACGTGTCAAGATTAGAAGCCAATCAGAACGCAGCACGTGTCAACATCAAGAACCAATCATAACATGACACATGTCAATGTGACAAAGCTACAAGTTTTTCTATAAATAGGGGTCATCCCCCCACAATATTGCCAAATGCCATTTGTGTTAAATCATTCACAAGAACTCACTAAATTAAGAGCTTGATCCTTTGTACTTGTGTAAGCCCTTCACTACTAATAAGAACTCCTCTACTCCGTGGACGTAGCCAATCTGGGTGAACCACGTACATCATGTGTTTGCTTCTCTGTCTCTATTCATTTACGTACTTATCCTCACTAGTGACCGAAGCAACCAAGCGAAGGTCATAAAACCTGACACTTTCTGTTGTACCAAAGTCCTCGCTGATTTTGTGCATCAACATTTGGCGCCGTCTGTGGGAAACGACACTTATTCCTACTCTCTTCAACTGTGTCAAGCTGGTTTCTATCATTCGTACACTTTCTTTTGATCAGGCATCCCTCTCCAACATGGGAAGCGAAGGAAGCCACAGCACACAGAATGACACCCCCTTGCACATAGTGCGAAACAACGAAAGAATGAAGGAAAACGAGTTCTTCTTTAAGCTAAAGTCGATGAGTTGGAAGCTCAGAACAACAAGATAGCAATGAGGAATGAGGTCCTCCAGGAGCAATATGAGAAGCTCTTCGAGACACTCCACGAAGCTAGGCAAGCTCAGACACGCGAGCTTGTTGCCCCCGTGGAAGTCAACCATCAACTGGGTGCCCTCCAACATGGAGGGTCACATGCATTCGACATAGATATCCCTGATAGGGAACAGATTACCCCTCGACTTGATAATCAACATGAGGCTT